TATTCTGACCAGCACTCCTCCAAGCTGCATGGCCCAGTGGAAATGGCAGGCAAACAAACTGGCATAAATGTTTGTTTGCAGTTTCTAGGAAGCACTGTTAGATATTAGGGTTCCTTGCTGAGGCAGACGGAGAAGGTGAGCTAGAAACACGAGGCCAGAGCAGCTGCTGCCTTCCCTTGCTTGCATCCTTGCTTGCCCACCCCTGTGAAAGGCAAACTCAGAGGAAGTGCCCACAGGGGAGTGGGAAGGCAGGGCCTCCTGGCTGGGCTGGTAGGACCTCCTCCTTTGTTCTTTTCCAGCCTTTGCTGAAAGGGCAAGGGGGACTGCTATTTCTCCTTATCTAATCCATTTTTTTCTTTCAAAAACAAAATCCACATTGTGAATCCATGTTTAGTTAGCCTCTCAGATACATTTGAAAGCCTGCAGGTACCTTTGTCCCTTTATGACAAGAAAAGTGGCACAGAAAGGAAAGAAAGAAACAAAAAGAAATGTCAGTGCACATACAGTGGTTTCAACACTAGCCATATTTTGCCGTTTTGTTTTTAATTTTATAAGAGATATAGTGATTCTCAGTCTTGAAATGCGGGCATTCATGCTTCTTGTTCCCATGGCCACACCACAATGACAGCCCCCAGTTGGTGTTTTCTTTGCTTTTTGTTTTGTTTTTGTTTTGCAAAACTGATAGGTCTTACAGTAATTGGCATTCAAGATCATGCTGCCTCAAAACATTTTGTGTTGCAATAACAAATGGGTCTTAATTGGCATTCAAGATCATGTTGCCTCAAAACATTTTGTGTTGCAATAACAATATATATTTGCTAGAATATCCATTTCCTTCTCCTCAATTATTGTAAGAATTGCAGCAAAGCTCAAAGAGAACAGAGAAGCCTATGTAAGATGACCAAGAATATCATAATCTCTAATTAAAGAATAATTGATTGCTGTCAAGTCAATTCTGACTTACTGTATGGTGACTCTTTCCAGGGCTTTTTAGGCAGAGAGTACTCAAAAGTGGTTGACAATTCCCTTTTTTCTGGGGATGCTTTGAGACTGTGGAACTGGCCCATGGCTACAGAGGCTGGCTGTGCTTACAGGATATACTGTGGGGAATCAAACTCCCAACCTCTGGCTCTGCAGCCAGATAACTAAACGACTGAGCAATCTAACCAGCTTATCATAACCCTATTTTTGCCTTGGGTCCTTTTCAAGGAGAAAGGCAGGGTAAAAATATTTTTAATAAATAAATTTCCCAGTCCTTTGACGCTGGGTTTGTGGCTCTTGACTCCACACTATGCTCTGCATAGTGGTAAAGGATGATATAAAACGACTAGCCTATAAAATGGAAGAAGGAAAGGCTTATACTATGGATACATAAAAGGTGTTGAGGACTTTGTTTCTTCATATGTGGCATGTGTGGGAGTTAAGAAGGCTGATAAACAACACATTTGTACCAGTGAAATATTGTTTACACGGCTGAGAAACTCCCCCAGTTCTTGGAATGATGGGATCTTTCAAGAGTGCATAGAACAAACATGTATATTTTTATTCCCCCTCCCCTCCCACATAACTTTTTGGCAAAACGGAAACATGAGACAAATATGGTAATATTATGTTTCTGCTCTGGTCCCCTCATTCCCAGCTAACCGATGTTGAACATAGGGCTGCCAAGGGAGCAGCATCCAATTCCTTGAGATTTCAGGACCATAACCTGGAACTAGGAGTGGATCCTTGTGATGTCACAGAGCACTCAAGGACTGGGAGTTTTTCCCAGACTTCTTGCTAATGCTACCAGGTCAAAAAGAAGGCTCCTGAGTTGCAATGCTAGTACTTCACTCCTTGCTTTTCTCCAAGTGGCACAGTGGTCCAACATCAGCATGCCAAAAGCCAGGGGAGAAGAGGAAGGGGAAGGACTGTGCACAAAACCAGTAAGGTCACAAATGTGGACCTAGCATGCTCTTTGTGGCAATGGCACACAAACAGTGTCATGCTCTGACACTAGTCCCCATGAAGGGAAGGTACAGTTAGAATTTCCCTAACATGATACCAGCTGTGGACGTATTCTCCCCAGCACAGCTGACTTCTTGTCCCTCTCAGCAACTTCTTGAAGGTTTCTCCTTCCTCCCCAACGTTCTTGTCTTGATCTGAAAGCCTCCCTGGGATACAGATGAAATCAACAAAGCTAGTCAATTTCCCAAGATGGACTAACAAACAAGGAAGCTTAAAGTGAGGGCTCCAGATCTATGGGGGAAAGATTCCATGATTCCAACCCATGCACATCCAAACCACACATCTCTTATGGGTGAGTCCCTTTGGGCTTGCCTGAGAACTACCAGAGCTTTATGGAAGTACCTTAAAGCTTTAGTGCCTGACTAGAAACAATCTTTAGCTCAAACAGAGCAAGGGAGAAAATAGGCTGAATGCTCCTCTCATGCTCTGAACAGTTAATTACATTGGCTCAAACATGGGGCACAGCATAGTAAATGCACATATATGGCAAAGGCAGCTCACCTTAATGTGTACCATGCAGAAGAGATGCATTGCTTAAATGGCTCTTTTCCACTGTCATTGCATTGCCTAACTGATCTGTAGTCATGGGAAGCTGGATTGGCAATGAACTACTGTCTCCATCATCCCTCACCGTTGGCCAAGGTGGGATGAGCTGAAGGGAACTGAGGTCTGACACCATTTGGAGAGGCACAGCTTCCTCAGGGTTGCCATACAGAAAATTCTACAGATAGCTGTTGGTGTTACTATACTGTTTCTAAGTTTGCATTTATTTATTTGTTTGTTTGTTTGTTTGTTTGTTTGTTCGTTCATTCGTTTGTTTTTTTGTATTTTAGCTTCATCTTTCCAGCCACTTAGTGACTGGAAATCCATCATATTGATATCCTGAAGTGCAGAAACCTGGAAACTGTCGCCAATGGTTGCAGTAGGCAGAGAAATAAATTGCACTGGGAAATTGGGTCCCTTTGGGTGACTTACCTTCCTCTCCTCTATGTTTGCAAAGTCCTGGCTAATGGCATGTATAGCACATTCAGTAGTGCATTCTCTTTGGGGAGTAAGCACCGTAAATGATAAAACACTGCAGTTCAGCAAAGAGTAATATGATTAATTAGTTTTACCTGCCTTCGGATGGTTGCTTACTTCCTCTATGAAATTAATGTGCCAGCAATACTTGAAGAACTTTTTGCGTAGTCATGATCTGCTACTATTTCCATGGAGCCACATATTCAAGATATCAACAGTATTAGAAAAGTAGGAAGCAGCCTTATGAAACTATTAATCCATCAAGCCCAATACTGTCAACACTGAATGGCAGCACCTTTGCAGGGTTTTAGCCAACTGTTTTTTTCCATTCCTACCTAGAAGTGCTGGGGACTGAATGGTGAGACTTCGGCATGCAAATAAAATGTTCCATCACTGAGCTATAGTGCAATAATCAGAGACAGATACTGCAAGATTTGACTTACATCTTGCATAATTTATGCTTAGATCTCAAGCTTGTATGTAATCAATTCATTTAAGAAAATTTCATGAGTTTAAGAATACACAACAATTTTGCATTTGATTTTTCCCCCAAATGAAAATGTTCCAAATTTGTGAATTTCTACATAAAATTAATGTCATAAAATGTGAGATTTATAGATTTCAGATGTGGGAGAAAACAAAACTAACAAATTTGTCCATCCAGGCCCAGGATCCAGGAGCACTTAAAACTCCAACTTTGAATTCCTCAGCATTCTGCCATGTTTACAGTCGAGCTCGAGTGCTATTTCCCTTATGTCACACGTTCACTAGGAAATGGCTCGGATCGAACCACACCACAAACGGAAATACATACATATTGCTTCCCAAATGCAAACTGTATGTACTCATGATCACACCCAGTGTTGGATGTGGCCAGGGCAGACGGTTAAGAAGTCTGTTTGGTTCAATAATTCATTCATGTATTTTACAAGAACATGATAAAATGTACATTTAAAAAACACTTAGCTAAAAACTCTCACATGTCTTTGCAAAGATCTTGAGGTTTTCAAAAGCTGAATGCCAGAAAATGTAAAATAGAGAGGTATGCATTGGAGATCAATTCTTTCAATGCCTCAAATGGTAGATAGTCTCAGATGATTTTTCATCATGGCTGTACCTTTTTGTAATTCAAAGTATAAGGTAAATTATTTTATTTGTTTATTTGCTAGACTTTTATACCGTCCATTTGGCTGCCAAGGCCACTTTGGGTGGTTTGAATCTATCTATCTGTCTGTCTGTCTGTCTGTCTGTCT